TTGACTGACCCAGACAAAAACACTCCGTCCGAAGCCGACCTGGATTCTAATCCAGACCTTAAAGTCCTCTTTCAGCTGTGCAAACAGCTAAAACTAATCAAGGGCATCCTAACTTTTGCTCATGGACTGACGTCCTCACCCGTGTTCGTGGTCCCCCATGGCCACAGGGGGTGATGTTAGTTCATGCGCATGACCTCCTGTCCGCAGGACACAAGGGAGATAACGCCACGCTGAAAGCATTAAAACAAGTTGCTTATTGGCCTGGAATGGAAAAGGATGTCAAGGACTACATAAAAGGGTGCCTGGTCTGAGGCCAGTTTCAGCCATCCAGACCACTCCACAGAGCACCACTGCAAAGTAGAGGCATTGCATTCCCATGGTCCGACCTCCAGATCGACTGGGTTGGACCACTTACTAAGAGCACTAGAGGAAATAAATATTTTCTCACGGTAACTTGCGCATTTACCAAATGGGTAGAATGTCTACCAGCTCCTAACGCCACAGCACAAACAACTGCTATGTTACTAATGAATCATGTATTTTCAAGGTTTGGACTTCCCCTCAGGGTGAACTCAGACCAAGGTACACACTTCACAGCTGAAGTGATGAAAGAACTTTGGAAGATGCTAGGCATCAAAGTCAACTTCCATGTTGGCTACCACCCACAGGCCTCAGGCCAAGTGGAGAGAGCAAACAGAACTGTGGTAAGTATTTTGAAGAAATACGTAGCCGCAAACCACAAGGACTGGGACCTGAAACTCCCTCTGGTCCTCATGGCCATAAGGGCCACTCCACACACATCGACTGGCATCTCTGCCTTCGAGATGATGACGGGTCGACAAATGACTCTCCCTCTACACCTGTTGTACCAACCAGGCGATTCCGCCATGACAACAGCCTACACCACACAACAATACATGAATGACCTGGAAAAACACCTTAAAAACACCTTTGCGTTTGCCCAGAAAAACTTGGAAAAATCCGCTGAAGTACTAAAGGCGTACTATGACCAAAAGGCCTCTCACGAGGAACTCCAAGTGGGAGATAAGGTCTGGTACTACACGTTCGCCCCCACGACCGGGAAAGGAGAGTCTGGGACCGGAACTCTCGCCCGCAAACTGATGCCCAGGTGGACTGGACCCCACCTGATAACAGACAAACTGTCTCCAGTTGTCTACCAGATCAAAATCAGCAAAGGCCAAAAAGAGCCAATTGTTAAATGGGTACATCGAAACCAGGTCAAACTACACAAGGCGTTCAATAACTCCATAGGAGACAAAGATCTCACAAACTCAGACCTCGTGGGAAAAAGGGTCGTCCAAGCAGAAACTAAATAAGTCTAAGCTTATTTAAGTGTTAAGATAACAACTCAGATGCAATAACGTGATCGAATCTGACAATCAGAGTGAGTGACGCAGTGAAACGTTGTTTTCTAGTCGCTTAATCACTACTTTTGTCGATGTTGAAGCTTTGTTTTCTGGTTGCTTAATCACTATTTTTGTCGATGTTGAGACATTGTTTATTTGGTTTTGGTATTGTTTCTGAACACCCCCAGCAAGAATGAATTTTGTGTGTACTTTAGTTAGAGACCAAGAGGACTTTAACTATGCCAACATGCAGTTCATTTGTTAAACTTCAACCTTTGAGGAGTCAATGTAGATTAATGCTACCTTAAGTACCATAACCTACATTGGTCTCATGACGCTCAAGCCGAACCTACTTGAACAATCCTATTCGGGGGGGCTAGCTAATCCTTAAATTGAGTCTCGCCATAGACTCCAAAAACATTTAGGGGGAAACCAAAAACACAAAACTCAAGTCGTTCGTCTAAAGGGACAACAGACAATTGAACCAAACTATATTTTGCCATGTAAATCTAACTTAAACCAAGTTAGGAATGGAAGAATAGTTTGGAATGCCCTTCTATAGGTATAAATCCCTGTATATAATTTTTCAGCATGACCCACCCTTTAATTGGTACCTGTAGCTGATCTAAACCATGATAGCTTACACACCAGGTGCATATAGGTTAAGGTCTTGTGTAAAATCCCACTCATAAGCCCAACTAAAACCACATAAATGCTTGAACACATAGAACCAGAATGACATCCACTGGGAACCACCAGCAGCAACCTTCGCTGAAGGGACCTACAACTCCAACGTGGGTCTCCAAACTCCATCCAGTGATCGCCTCTGCAGTTCTATCGAGGGAACCCCTCTGCATGCTGATCAATCAACACCTCCAGTCGTTGTGGATTTACTGTTGTGGATTATATGACTTTTTTCCAATGGATTACAGACTTTGTTTCCAAGGGGTTAAAGCTTTGCTGCAATGGAATTACCAACAACATTGTGGAATTACCTGAACCGTTGTGGGATTACCTTCTTTGACTTTTGTTTTCCTCTTGATGATTACATCAAGATCAAGGACAGTCGTAGGTGTAAGTTCATGTTGGAATTCATCCCCATGGACAGGCGATGATTTCCAAAGGGGGGACTGTAGTGAACTAGGCCTCCGACATCAATCTGTCTCTGAAGACCTTCAGGGGACAGGAACTGCTATTTCATTGATTTGAATCCAGAAATACAAATTATCTCATCAAGAGACTATTTAATTGTATCCTGAATTAATCAATTGAAAGAACACTCTTCTTTTTACATTATCATTACTATTTTAAGATATCTTGATAATCCAAAGTGTGTTTAGTTCATACCATTTCTAAATGTTGAAGTGAACCACTCATTTAAATCAACTGTGAAACAGTATTAATGATTTTTAAACCTCATAGACCTTGATCATACAGTTAAATGCCTATTTACGAAGTAAGTGTGCATTTAGTCTTCTGTCTGAATGAGGGTAGTGGACCTGATGTCGGTCGAAAGTCAAAGACAAGTTATGAGAACTAAGTCTTGTTTTAAAACTCTCATACAGTAAATAAGAGCTGCTGGCACCTGCTTTGTCTCACCTCATCATAGTATTTCTCTGTCTGTACTAACCGTTTTTTAAAAACATTCCTGCTGTCTCCTGACTTCTAGTGACCCTCTAACATCACTAGAACCACACCCCTGCTGGTTGTTTCAACCAATCAGGAAGTACCACGTAACAGGAAGTGGATACCCCTTTAAAAGGCAACACTTCTTGGAACTATTCAGTCGAAGTCAGTCTTCTTCAAAGTCTTCACGAGTCTTAGTCTTTTCCAGTCTTGCTGGAACTTTCAGTCGGAGATGAGACTCAACTAAGTAACGGATGGATTTGACCATGTGCCAAGGGTCTCTCCAGTCCAGCGTAGTCACAGCCTGCCTCGGCTGTGACTCAACCTGAGCATTAAAAGCTCAACTCCTAAGGAAGCTTATTCGGTTGAACCGAGTACTTCGTCACGATTTCTGATGACCCCCAGCTACTCTAACAGGAGACGCTGAAAAGGGAGCGTACCAATGGACTTCTGTTCCGGAGTGGATGCATCCTCTGCTAAGGTAACAAAGTCGCTGCACGTCCTGAAGTGTACCGGAGGGCTGAGCTGGATGTCGGAAGAAGGGTGCCATGTTATGGTTCAACACATAACTTTCATCCTTAAATCTAAACTTACTCCTTAAATCTTTTCCTCCTCTCTTAAACTTCTCAGCCAGTAAATCAAGCTAGATGCCTTCAGAGATGAATCAGTCTCAATCAGTAATGTTCTGTTGTCTTGTTAGTAAAGCGTGCCAAGTTTACTAATCAGAAACAGATCAGCAAATCAATGTGTACATGTTTTGATGTTAAATTTTGATTCTGTTAAATAAATGACCGCATTTATTCTGATGGGTCAAAGATAAAATGGCGTCTCATGTCACTGATTAAACACTCCACTCTCAAGTTATCTTGGTCACATGGCAGAAATTTAACTTGAAAAAGAAAATAATCCGTTGTAATTAAACAATTAATATTCTTTGTGCTTGAACTAGCTTTAAGAATAATTAATTAGTAGTGTGTCCACAGCAAAGCTGTCCTGACATACTACAATATTTTAAACGTTTATTGTTGCACACACCACATAGACAGATTTCATTTAAAATTTAATTAATTGCACTTTATAAGAGAATCTGTTCATTATTAAAGCATGTCAAGCTTTAAATATGACTACTTGCTTTCTTTCACCCCTGTACTAAAAACACTGGCACAAAATAAAACATACCACTGCTGGGTGCACCCCGAACCACATGTTCGGTTCATCAGAAACTGTTACTTTTTCCCAGGTGTACTTCTTGTTACTCCTTGCAGCTCTGAGTAACTCTTTGTCTTTCAAAGCACCGTTTTAAAACTCTGAACAGGACCACTCAAAGTTGAGAGTGATCAGGAGCTCACTTCTCATGAGGAGCACCTGCTCTCCTGATGCATGCTGTCTGATGTCACGCAGCCCACACACTGAAAACACTCGGCGACATATTTTACAATCTGCCTTGTAACCAGCTCCACTGACGCTGTCCAGCCAAGGATTTGCCTCTTCCCACTCAAGTCTGTACCTTTGTAATTATTTTCGCTTTTGAGGACGCAGTGGAGTATCGGGTGTCGTGGACATTTTTAAAAGGCGCAGGTTTTGCAAGCAGCACGGGGGTGTGGTGTCTGTCTCTAGACAACCATGACAAACACAAAGAGGAGCGGAGCTGGGGGAGGGGCTTTAGATCATTACTGTTAGATTTAGTGTTGAAGTGTGTGTGACAGAAGTGTGAATTGGAAATTTATGGAAATCTGAAACAAATCGTGTCTCGTATTGGTTCAATATGGGACGCAACATTTATTTGCCGAATAAAGGACAATTCCGTATTTTACGGGACGGGTGGCGACCCTAGGTGTACAGCTCTAAAAGCTTCAGTGTTTCTTCTACCAACACGCAGACTCAGCACACTCTGACCATGCTGGGATATCATTTAGATCTTGAATTTAAACAAATTCCTTAAAAGCAAAATATCTCAGTTTGTTTAGCTCTTGTCTTGAGTAACTACTACTCTTTTCTTTCAGACCACTCTGATAAAACACTCTTAGTGGAGCATGTCACAGAAAACCAGTCTGAGGATGGAGGGGCTGAAATGGTCCTAGAAACCATGGAGGCCACTGAGACTGAGCCCATTGACACCACTGCAGCTCCCACTACCCTTGCTGCCACCAGCACAACCACAACCATAAGGAGCACAACTACCACCACTGCTGAGCCCACCACAACCCCCACCATTGTCACTCCAAGCACACCAGTGTCTGAAAGAGCAGCTCCAACCATCATGTTGATGCTGGACAACTTAAACAACAACAGTCGGCCCAGTCTCCACAGAGCAGGTATGAGCTGAACCTCACTCTGACTGTGTACAGTTTTTGGTTTTTGTGTCTTCTGCGGCCAATTAAACAGCAGGAAAGAGTGCATGAAACCATGAATGAGTGTAAATGCATGTCAGTGCACGTCCTTCCTTCCCAGGCATGCAGGTTGAATGATCTGCTTGTTACTTCCAGGGAAGATCCTTAACTGTGAAGGGACTCTGTCATCCATCGAGCAGCCAGTGAAGCAGCACAGTTATGGGCGCAATGAGGGAGCATGGATGAAGGATCCTCTGGCTAAGGACTCCAAAATCTACGTGACTAATTATTACTATGGCAACAATCTTGTGGAGTTTCGCAACCTGGACAACTTTAAGCAAGGTGTGCATCAGCCATGTCTTTTCACTATTGTGTATGAATGTCTTAAAAAATGTCTGTTTTTAGGTTTCATGCTTGGTTCCTGAAGTATCACTAACCACTGGTCCCATGGGGGTCAAACTCAGTTACAAAAGAGGGTCAAAATTAAAAACATAGTCCAAGCCAAGGGCCAATTTCATTCAAGACCCAACATCTTTTCTTGGTTACAGGTTCATCAACGAGTTTGGTCGGTGTCGCTTGACATTTTCTGTTGCTCTTTCCACATCAAAACTTTGGGTCGTCGGTCGCGCACGTCCCTGATGCAATAAAAAGCACGACACCGACCTGGCCCATTCATTAAGCACATCATGATGGCCCGGCCTGGTCCAAATCCGGGTTCAGGTTAGAAATGACAGCTCTACTGTCCAGGTGTCCCTGTGAAGGACTGGAGACCTATCCAGGGTGTCCCCCACCTCTCACAGTGACTGCTGGATATGGGCACCAGTAACCCCCGTGACCCAAAAAGGAAGAAGTGGGTAAAGACAACATATGGCTGGATCTTGGGGAAGCCACAAAAGATATTAACAGGGGCCATATTTGGCCCACAGGCCATTTATTTGATACATGTGGTCTAGGCAATTCAGGAACAGCTTTTTTCCCATTGGTTACAAAACTTTTACGATCTTTACTTTAGTCAAGTCAAGTCAGATTTATTTATAGAGCACATTTAAAACAGAAACTGTTACCAAAGTGCTTAACAAAAATATCACATCATCAAATAAAAAGTAGCAAGATATATTTACAGCACATGGAATAAAAATATAAAACCGAAAACAATTAGAAACAATGAAATACTAAATCAGATCACGTTGTGTCAAAAGTCAAGGAAATAATAACAAAAAGCATAAACTCAGTCAGAAACAATGAAATATAATTTAGGGATCAGATTTCTCCTACTGATTTCATGTTTACACAAACCGAGTGCATCATAAATGTTTGTGCCTTACCATCAGTAACTCATGAATATTACAAATTCCAGACCAGATAGCCCGGTGGAGCAGTGGTAAGCACTTTTGCTTCACAGCGAAAAGGTTTTCGGTTCAATTCTTAGTTGTAGAACAGTTTGAATGTTCTTCTTGAGCAGTAATGGATTTTCTCCAGCTAGTTGAGTTTCTTCCTAGTCTACAAACATGCATGCGAGGACAATTGACAACAGTTACGCAACATTTAGCAAATGTTCAAAGTGACTACATCTCATTCCAGCAATCACATTGAATGGGACATTCATCAACAATTCATTTTAATTCAGTTTATTTTTATAGTACCAATTCACAACAAAATCCTCTCAAATACTATTCAAAAGAAAAAACAAGTTCAAATCAAGTTTAAATACAGTTCAGATCCAGATTTGATTAACTTTACAGTCAATTCAGTTCATATTATAATACAATAAATTCTCATACAGTACTGTATGTACAGTACTACAGTGTATATACGTATGTGGGCAGCACAATGGCACGGTGGTAGAGCTGCTGCCTCTCAGAGAGCAGGACCCCGGTTCAAATCCCCGTCCGGGGGCCTTTCTGGGTGCAGTTTGCATGTTCTCTCCGTGCATGCGTGGGTTTTCTCCGGGTGCTCCGGTTTCCTCCCACAGTCCAAAAACATGCATGTTAGGCTGATTGGTAACTCTAAATTGTCTCTAGGTGTGAGTGAGAGAGTGAATGGTTGTTTGTCTCGTTTGTCTCTATGTGTCCCTGTGATGGACTGGAGACCTGTCCAGGGTGTACCGAGTGGCTTTGGATGTTATCAGCCCATTAAATGGCCGTTATTAGTTTTTATCATCCCATATGTAGCGGTCAAACTGTCCCACCTACCTCCTAGTTAAAGGTACGTTATTATCGTTATTGTTGCTGATAATAGGCAGCGTCGCACTGGGGTAAACCAGGAAGTGTCTTTTGTTTTTTTCCCAGCTTATGTAACCCTTTTCTTAAACGTAAGCTCACACCTGACCCAGAGGACCAACCCTAAACTTAACTCCCTTACCCTTGTGCCTAAACCTAACCACGTGAAGCTATTATGAGCACTAACAAAGCTAAAAACCGAGCCAATTGTCATCGCTATTAACACTAACAACGTACCTTTAAACCCACTAGGAGGTACAGGAGGGTCAGTCTGACCGCTACATATGGAGATGATAACAACTAATAACGGCCATTTAATGGCTGATAACATCCGAAGCGGGTGGTGTACCCCGCCCCTCGCACAGTGATTGCTGAACATGGGCACCGGCGACCCCCGTGACCCAAAAACGAGAAGTGGGTAAAAGATGTTGGATGGATGGATGGATGGATGGATGGATGGATGGATGGATGGATGGGTGGATGGATGGATGGATGGATGGATGGATGGATGGATGGATGGATATATGTGTGTGTGTGTGTGTGTGTATTCCTTCAATTTTTATTTCTACAGGTTAATGTCATTGAGCCTCAGGGACTCATTTACAAGAGAGACCTGATTCTAACAAAGAGTGATGACAACAATGGACAATCATAAAGGATGGGTACAAACTGACAAGTGAAAAAAAAAGTATTTTTAAAAAAGTAACAAAAATACTTACTTTCAGGACACGTACTAACTAATTTGGGACCATAAACAAACATCAGCAAGGGTTGGAGCCTGAACATAGTCACCATAACTACACTGTACATCAGTGCTTCTCAATTATGTTCTGTCCCCCCCCCCCCCCGGAACCCCCCCCCCCCCCATATGTCTATTATTATAGGTACACCCCTGACTAACATTGTGTCCTTATTAACATTAAAGAAAAAAAAATAATATAGATCAACTTACAAGGAAGAATAACTTAATTAACCTTGTTTTTTTTACTCTGTAACAGAAACAACTTAAAATGCATCAATTTGCCTGAAAAAAAAAAAAAAAAATTTAAACTGTAAACATTTTGGACCATTTGATACTGAAAAATAAAATTAAATATAATCAATAAATAATAATAAATTCAAACTGATCAGCAACATTTTAACTCTGGACGTGTTATATAAAAGACTTTGGCCTACAAAACAAAAAAGAATAAAACAATTTATGCTGATTTTTTTTAATCAAAATGAGGAAGTCAGGATCAATGAGCACACTCATCGATAAAACTAAACAAAATAAAATGTCAACATGAAAGAGGAAAGAGGGGCAGGTAACCATCTCGCTTTGAGTTACTCTTTGTCACCTGCTGTGGGTGACAAACGTCCGGAGCATCAAAAAACAGCAGCTTCACTGAGGAGGTGAATTTATTTTGTTAACAAAGAATAGAGCCCTAACATTTATTAAACATTACTTCTGTAAATTGTGCTTTGACAAACTCATCGATAAAACTAAAACATTTAGTCAATGCAACAGAGGAAAGAGGGGGCAGGTGTCGCTCTCACTTGAGTTTACTCTTTGTTGCATGTGCGCTGTGAGGGACGTCCAGAGCGCATGGACATAAAAACAGCAGCGGAGGACGAGGAGGTGACGGTCGGAGTTTATTTATCGTGTCAGCAGCAGAGGAGAGACACGGTTCATGCATGACTCCCAAAACCACAAGGCAGCCATATTTGTTCATAACTTTATTATTAAGAACGCACGCGACAAAATGAGAATGGTGGAAAAAAAAAACTACTCCCCGTGGCAAAAAAAAGCATGTTTTCTACGGTCACGTGCATCCCCCCGGCTTTGTCCTGGCTCCGCCTCCCCCCCAGGGGGGCGCACCCCACTATTTGAGAAGGACTGCTGTAGATCAACGGTACGCTAATTAAAACGTTGAAGGTCCACAAAGACACTTTTCAAATAGTCAAAGGCCCATTTTTTATTTATTACAATTGGTCAAGCCACAATACAGAATACAGTAGTCCCTCGTTTATCACGGGGGATCCGCACCCTGACGACCTGCGATAAGTGAAAATGCACGAAGTGGGAATAGTAGTGCAAGTAGTAAGTAGTAGTTTATTTTAGTATATATATTTATCAATTTATATATATAAAGGCGTTTTAAACCCTTCCCACACTCTTGCAATATTCTAAACAATGTTTCTAAACTCTAAACGCTCTAAAAGACACAGCATGTCATGATTTCAGCTCTGTGCCTCGTCTGCTCTCAGCCACCTGCAAATGCTCTTGGCCACGCCCACTTCTCCACAGCAGAGCGGAGATCAGCTGATCAGCTGCAGAGCTGGACATCAGATGAGATGATCAGCTGCAGGAGGAAGCTTCACACGGGTGCTAAATAATAATAAAAAATACTTTTAAATAAAAATCCCATGCCAATCGTGCGGCTCAACCATCAATAAGCCAATTGTGTGTCATGTCCAATTTAAAAAAAAAACATGATAGAGTGAGTCCGCGAAAAACGAACCGCGAAGTAGCAAGGGACTACTGTATTGTTCTTGCTGCAGCCGTGAACTCTCTTGGACCCAGTAACAGCTGATTAATATGTTGTCACTTCTTTAACATGTGCTAAAAAAATAAGAAAAAACTTCTTTAGCACATGCTAGCCAAACCAAAGTCACACAGTGACTGCTTTCAGACCTGGGAAATCCGGACTTGATCACCATGCAGGACTGAGATTCAAGAACTTTCATGTTTTCCTGGGTCAGAATCTGGACTGACCGCAGGGTGCAGACAGAAAGTAGGGGGCATCCAGACATAGAAGGCTGCCAGATGTAGATGGCTCAGGGACCGGATGTGGACCACGGGCCGTCATTTGAGGGCCACTGCCAGATCATTTTATATAATACTGTAAATCAGTGTTTACAGATATTACTGTGTACACATTCAAACAGTTTAAGAAAAATTTAAAAGTTAGTTATATTAAAATTATTACAATTTCAAAATGTCTGACCAAGGACATTTTAGTACAAGTGTACAAACTGTAATGTAGAAGCACATTAATACACATGTAATAAAACAAAATGGCGTCTGCCCAAACAAATCCACATATAAGCCCAACCATAGACCCAAACAAAGCCTTATAACATTTTATCTCCACTTCCACGCCCGTTCTTTACCCAAGGCTTCCTGTAAATCACACACAAAGGTCAACGACTTAATAAGAATGAAGTTTATGTTGACTTCAATAACAATGTGACCTACAGCAATAAAACACAACACCAACGTGCAACATCTCGAACATAAAAAGCCGAGCAAGTCTCATAAATGCATGTCTGTTTGGATAAACCAGGATCTTTGTCAGAAGAGTTTTATACGTGTAAAGACGTCTTTGCCACATCTGTTTTGGTAAACTAAAACTATTGTCTCTTCTTGTAATACATCTGACTAACACTCTTATCAGCTTGCATTGACATACAGACGTGTTATTTATAATAATATTAGCTACACTGGTTCACACTGGTCGTCCAGTCAGCTCTGCGCTTGTCTCAGATGTTTTGTCTTCAGCGGATGGGAAAGTCCACTCCGTTCACATCTAAATCAACTGAGGAATTGGATTACACTTTGGAAGAGAGCTAAAATGATCTGTGTTTGTTGGACTTGGCTTGTTGATGTAGATGTGTTTGGACAGTAGGTTTACTAAATGCACTTCCATGTGAGACGTCCTGCGGTGTGGTGAGCTCACGGCTCTGTTCGGATGACTTGGTATCTTTAGTGAGTGGCGGCGATGCCTGCTGTTCCTTGACATGTGCTTTAGCCTCTCCTTTGAACCAAGCACAGCAAAGGGGGATTAAGAGAGTGGGCTGGCCTCCGGGATGAAGGGTGAGGGTGGGGAGTAACGGGGGTATGGGAGGGCTTCCACTGCACAGTGTTTTTGTTTTTCCCTGGCTTTTAGTTATCATTGTCATCTACACGAGACTTCCTGAGATCGGAGGGTTAGGATAGTAGATAGGATATGACACCTATAGTACAAAGTGTGTTTGTTCAGGGGGGAAACCCTACACAAACTGTATCACTGTCAGGGTAAGACAGTGTGCATACAGTCTGGCACTGGAAAAACAAAAGCTTAGCAAGAACAACTCCATGTTTTAAACTCACAGTAAGTAAAGCATAAAGTATCTCTCGCTTTGCTATGCCGATAAGGCTATTATTTTCTTTACAAAAACAACTTGAAGACCACATACTATCCATTTTACTGCATGACTGGTGCTGAACCAGACACAAAAACTAGAACAGTTGAAATCACATTTTCTTACATGGTTCCAAACCTAAGCATTTAAATATATATTTTAAAACCTGTAAAGTGCTGTCTACATGACAGTGATAACATTTGATTATATCGTTGGTTTCATAATTAAATATTCCCTCACTTGCATTTTCCTACATTAACAATTCAACACTATTCCTAAAAAAAAGATTGTCAGATTATTTTTCAAGGGATGTTCTTTCAAGTAGTTATCAATAGTTAAAACCTTATCAGTCGTGACACCTGTCAAAGAGGATAGAGCAGGGCTATTCAACTGGCGGGGAGATTTCAGTCCCGCCCATCAATGAGTTCATTAAAATAAATTAATGAATTTAAATATATATATATATATATATATATATAGGTTCTGGGTTTGGTTTGGGTTCTGTTTTTGCATTTATGATTCAATGCAACAAAATAAACAAACTTAAAGGTAACAGATTTGAATCCACCAGCAGTCACATGCCAAATTGTCCCTGGGCAAGACACTGAACCCCTCATAGCTTCTGACGTGTGTCCCATCATCATCATCATTGTTTAAATGTGATCTAAAGCACTGATTAGTCTCTTTAGAATGATTTGTTCAATCATCTTTTGTATAGATCTAGTAGAGAGCTGTATGAATGGGTAAGTGAGGCACAGGTTTTAGTGTAAAGAGCTTTGAGTATCTTGATAAGATAGAAAGGCGCTATATAAGTACAGTCCATTTACATAAGGACTAATTGCAGGATGTCCAGCCTCCGAGCTGCTGGCTTTCAGTCACTGTGGCCCCCTGAGCAGTTTTGCTGAATAGCCCTGGGATAGAGTACAGAGAAAGATAAAAGGTGTGGCAGGCTAATGGCTAGCCAAAAGAGCCCATTTTTATTGTTTTTCAGGTTATTAAAACAACTCTTTCTTAAAAGCAACTTACAAGTGTGAAAGGACCACTACATAAGCTAACAGAATTACTAGACTATCCCTTTAAGTTCATTGTGAAATCCTATTTTGACCCAAAATGTTAATGTGTCCTAAAGTAAATGGATCTGTGTTATTAGTGTTTTCTGTTATACGTCTTTCTGAGTGTCAATAGCACTTTTGAAATGCACTCAGAGCTCCAACTTCAATGCCAAGAGTTAATGTTTCCCTGCTGGTGTGAAAGCAAACACGTAGGTCTTTATGAACAATCTACAGTGAGAGTCCTTCAAACGTATCACCCTCTGAGAGTCAAAACTATGTGGTCTAAAAACAACTATTAGGAAACTGGATTAGCTCCCAAGTCTCCACAAATTGAATCAGTTGTTTCCAAAAAGTCTCTCTATATGTTTTTAAATAAGAAGTGTTTCTGATACATGTATGTAAATTACCAGTCCAGTCTTTGAGCACACTTCCTGTTGAAAATGAGTAGATGAGTTCACTTCTTTGGGCAGTATTGTTTGTTTTTAAAAGGATATTAGACTTTTGGATTGTGTTCATTGCTCAACACTGTCCCTGCAGACCAAGAATATAAATTTGTTACAGCGGGAGCATGCCTGGGACTGGGAAAATGACAGAAAAACAAATGGGAAATGATGTTTAAATACAGTGGAGCTTTTCTTGGACCGCAGTGCAGTCATCACAGGGGATTACTTAAACACTGACAGCACAAACACTCGTGCAGACTGATTGCATCAGCGGTGTTATTGTTTTCAAATATAATGTGTTTATTAGCAAAACAAATATTTGCGTGCTCTTTCTTGAGTTTTACTAAATAAGCAAAAGTTACAGTTGTAATTTATTATTCTTGTTTGTCCTAGGACGTTGGAGTAACCTTTATAAACTGCCTTACAACTGGATTGGCACCGGCCATGTGGTTTACAATGGAGCTTTCTACTACAACAGGGCTTTCACTAAGAATGTCATCAAATACGACCTGAAGATGCGATATGTGGCTGCCTGGACGCTGCTGCATGACGTGGTTTATGAAGATACCACCCCATGGAAGTGGAGGGGCCACTCGGACATTGATTTTGCAGTGGATGAAAGTGGCCTGTGGGTGATTTATCCTTCCATGGACTATGACTACAACCAGCAAGAGGTGATGGTAATCAGTAAATTGGATCCTGGAGACCTGTCCTTAAAAAAGGAAACCACATACAGGACAGGTCTCAAGCGAAAATCATACGGAAACTGCTTCATTATCTGTGGTGTCTTGTATGCTGTTGATGTGTACAATCAGAAAGAAGGTGAGGTGAACTATGCTTATGACACCCACACGAATACTGAAGCAATCCCACGCTTGTCTTTCACCAATGAGTATTCTTTCACCACACAAGTTGACTACAATCCTAAGGAAAAGCTTTTGTATGCCTGGGACAATGGCCATCAGGTTACATACCGTGTAAACTTTGTTGACGAGTAAGAAGCTCTCAGGAGCCTGCCAGTATGGCAGCTAATGAGAACATTCTCAGTATTTGCCAGCCTTCAAACCACTGTTAATAGACTCAGTGGGGTGAATAATAAAGCTATACCATCCTTCTTGTACCATTGTATGCTTCTCAAATAGTTGTAATAAGTACTCATACCGTTTAACTGGGCTGTGACTGTTAAACATCAACATATAACTCAGGACCCTATATGGGATCGCAGAAGTCGAAGCCAGACTGGGATCAGCGTCCACATACTGTAGCCTGGTGCCACAGACACTCATACTAGTAATAATGTCCATGTTGGCAATTATTTACAATAAAATGAACTGGAAGTCGCTGAAATATTCTCACAGGTTGAGTTCTGTTTCATTGAAAATGGTAAATGGACTGTACTTATATAACACCTTTCTATCTGATCAAGACACTCAAAGCTCTTTACTACAATCTGTGTCCTCATTTACCCATTCATACAGCTCTATACTAGATCTACACAAAGCTAATTGAACAAATCACTCTAATGAGACTAATCAGTGCTTTAGATCACATTCATACACCGATGGGACACACATCAGAGGCAACGAGGGGTTCAGTGTCTTGCCCAGGGACACTACAGCATGTGACTGCTGCTGGATTTGAACCCCCAACTCTTGCATTGGAGGACGACTGCTCCACTCAGCCACAGCCGCCCCAAAAAGTATGAGAATTTCCTTTTGGAGCATGTGCAGTGACATAATTGAGACGGTTTACTTCACCATGATGTGACAACTTGACATGAACAGTAGATCTTCTAATTACAAACACTTCTAAATGCAATCATTTCATGATAAAAGAAGGTGTTTGATACTCCAAATTGTTATTTTTTCTCCAACTTCAATTTTGGCCATCCATTTGACCATTAAAATATATACATTCCCATTCCAAAATACATGAATTCACCTGCCAAATCACAATCTACATGTCTACAAGCTTACCTGCCAAAACACACTTGTCTGCCTGCCCACCCTTTGTGCTGCCGCTAGTGTTGTGTGCACGTGTGTGAGTGCGTTATGAGCAGTCCTTGCAATAGGATGAAGGTCTCCATCACTACTGAAGTGTCCAGGGGCCTTTCTAGGTGCAGTTTACATGTTCTCTCCGTACATGCGTGGGTTTTCTCCAGGTACTCCAGTTTCCTCCCACAGACCAAAAACATGCATGTTAGACTGATTGGTAACTCTAAATTGTCCCTAGGTGAGAGAGTGAATGGTTGTTTGTCTCTATGTGTCCTTGTGATGGACTGGAGACCTGTCCGGGGAGTCCCCCGCCTCTCGCACAGTGATGGCTGGACATGGGCACCAGTGACCCCCGTGACCCGAAAAGGAAAAAGCAGGTAAAGATAATGGATGGATGGATGGATGGATGGATGGATGGACTTATTCTAGATTCATCATACTGTAAACAGAAAAGAATGTCAGAAGACATTCTTTCTTGAAAATGCATTCATTTTATGACAGTAATCTAGATTATTTAAACAAACTGCACTTCAGCATACGAGCCCTCGTCAGACAGACGTTTTAAACAAAAAGTACTTTACAAGGATAATCTACCAATACGAGCGCTTTTGTGTTACTGATATGGATTCAAGTTTATTCCCATTCCATCCAAAGAGCACCTCAGGTGACCCCACACTGAATCCAGGAAGCATTCATCAGCAAGAATGTGCACGTTTGCTTTGTGTCTAAACAAGTTCTCACACAATAACTTCAAAAACGATTTGATCCACTTTACTTTGCGCTCCATCATAAACATGTTTGATGAGTGCGGACTATCTTCTGTTCAATGTTTTCAGAGTGCTCTGAAAGATCCTGGTTACTTTGGTTCTTCTTGAGAGAAGTCTGCTCTTTTGTTTAATTACTATTAAGCTCTACTTTTTTGACACAATCTGTTACAATACTTCAGCGTCACAGAACAGTTAGATTTCAGAGAAATGTTATGTTGCCACATATTCATCGAGTCCATCCTGTCACCAAGCACTTTCATCAAGAAACTGTTTCATTTTTAATCCGGCCTCATGATACGAACTGTCTCTGTACCACTGATTTTGTTTTAAGACAGGTTTTAATACCAAAGTGTGTTCATATTTCTTTCTGACCTACATTACATAAAGCGTTTTGACATTATCATACTTTGTGGTTATTTTTTTTGTATAAAGTACATATCCTGATGCATGCTCAATAATCCAGGTAGAAAAATCTAAAAAAGTTAAATCTGGTCCTCTGGACATTCAGAGGACATTCATTTTTTT